CTTTACTTTGGGTTTAGTTTGGGGTTTAGGCTTTAGGGTTTAGGCTTTAGGGTTTAGGGCTTAGGATTTAGGGTTTAGGGCTTAGGATTTAGGGTTTAGGGTCTAAACTCTTTAAAGGGGTTCTATAGGGGATTATATAGGGGAGTATTCTAAGGGTTCTTAAGGGGGATACTAGGAGTGTAGACTATAGCTCACGTGATTCTGTTGATGGATGAAATCTTGCACCACTTACGGGCCCTAAGTTACTGTACTTCCTAAGACTTTAGGGACTTAAGGTGGTGCAAGATTTCCTCCATCAACAGTTGTAGAGGTGAATTGCCAAAGCGGGCGTTGCTTTGTTGCAGGCGTCGGACGACGAAGATGAAGAAGAGGATGAAGATGAAGATGAAGCGACAACCACGAAGCGCGGCTTAAGGTGTATAGTCCCGTTTAAGTAGATAGAATATGGCTTTGGGTATATTCTAATAAGATTCCCATGTACCCCATAGGGGAACTATAGGGTTTTAGGGTTTAGGCTTCAGGATTTAAGGTGTAGGGTTGTTGGGTTTAGGCCCACGATTGAGTAGATAGAATGTTGAGTTTATATTAGGATAATGGAAAAGAAAATGGAAACTACCATTTAGGGTTTAGGGGTTTAGGGTATAGTCCCCTTAAGTAGATAGAATATAGAGTATAGGGGGATGTTGTTATAATATACCAAAAGCCATATTCTATCTACCTAGGGGGACTGTGGGGTTTTAGGGTTTAAGCTTCAGGAAGCCATGACCACGAATCACGGTTCAAGGATGGGTTAGTATGCAATAAGAGCTTGAATGCTACTTCCAACGGCAGAAGGGGCAGAATCTCTAGACACGTTAAGTAATGTATACCCGTGATGTATAACTCCTTTCCCTCAATAGGGATTATAAACGGTAAGCCCTAACCCCTAGACCCTTACAAGCAGGGGGGCTTTAATCAGGGGTTTCAATACCTTTAGGCTCTTTGTCCTCCCCAGTAGAATCCCACACCTTAAAACCTTCCTCCATGCAAGGGTTGAAGTCTTAGGGTTTAGAGTTTAAGGGCTTAGGCTTGAGGGTTTAAGTGGGAGCCCATGATAGACACTCCTACGTTGGTCTTAGATGTGCTTGGCTATGTTTGCCCGACCCTGGATCGCGTTCGTGGCTTGGTGCCTTACTGTCACCCGTGAGGGACCCAGGAGTCAGGTAATAGGTTACATCCCCAGGCTAAGCCCTAAACCCTAAACCCACTTTTTCAACCCTTCTGCACCTTGTAGCCTTTAATTATAATCAACTCCACCTGACATTAAAGCCCAGCCCCGCCAACACCATGGGCTATAAGACACTAAGATTCCCCAGTAGGACCCTACTAAAGCGTGGACTAAATTACCCTTAAGGTCTAATAGCCCATAGTGGTATTCCCAAAAACATCATGGCATGCCAGAACATTAGGGGGGAGGGGTTGGGGGTGTTTAATGCTGGGTGGAGGTGATTAAGCAGGCTCGAAAACTCCTTCGCAACCGCAGGGGCCTCTTTGAGCAGAGGGTGTTTAGCGGTAACTCCTGGACTTCTTGCACAAGTCTAGACAGGTAGGGTTCAGGATTTGATGAGCGATCAGTCCTTTGGGGGAGACTTAAGATCCCGCATGGCCTCCATCAACACTATAGTGCCTAAACCCTAAACACCATACTCCCCAAGGTATAGGGTACTTAGGTCTTGCAGGTTTTTCAGTATTAACCGTAGGAATTTGAGCCTTGACAATCTGCCGCTGTTTGGATCCAAACGGGCCATAATCTAAACTCCTTGAAGGGGGTCACACAAGTGATTACACAGGAAACTACTATGCGGTCCATCCAGCGGGATACTATGAGTATAGACTATGGCTCCAATGGGGAATTTTACAAGCCGAATGGCTCATTCGTTCCTGCTGCGGTGAACGACGACCCACTTGAGCTGCAGTCAATATGAGCTATACTCTAAACTCCTCAAAGGGTGGTTCAAGGGGGGATCATAAAGGGCACTACTATAGCGCTTATTAAGGGGGATACTAGGAGTTTAGACTGTAGCTCATATGAGTCGAGGGTTATCAAGGACGTAGGGGCCCCTCTTGTAGTCCAGTACATCCTTCAAATACTCCCTAAACCCTAAATCTTAAACCCTAAACCCTATACCCCAGACCCTAAACCCCTAAACCCTAAACCCCTAAACATCCCCTGCCTATTTCTCCTCGGGAAGGTTGAGAATAGCTCGCTTTAGTTCTAAGGATGAAGCCGTGGGCCCCTAGTATGGGCCCCTAGTACGGGCCCTTAACCCTTGGATCTTATATACCGACTATATACCCTATATGTACCCTTTAGGGTCCCTAGAATCCCTTTCAAAGGTCTAAGCGCCCATATTTGGGGTCCATACTTTTAACCTAAGAGTAGTTGCAGTCCTGTATGTCATTCCGGGTGCCAAGGTTCTTGCTCTGGTGGCAGAGTGGGGACCGCCCATTTTATGCGCATTGCGGAGGGGCAGAATTCTGACAACCAAGCCTCCACAAACCCTAATCCCCCAAAACACGAACCCTCATAGGATCCCATATAATTCTATTTTCCATTTCATTCTCCATGTCATGCTCCATTACACCCTCAACCCCAAAATCCGAAAACCTTGCCCTCGAGAGAGATCATTGAGATTGTGAGGCACATGTGCAATCCCTTTCCCACAGTATGAAAACCTCCCCACCTCATAATATTAGATTTCGGCAATATAGGATCATATACCACAATGAGATTGATATTAGGGGGTGGGGGTTTTACGCTAAACCCTACACCCCTAAACCCTAATAAACCCCTAAACCCTAAACTAATAGGAGGATGTGCGTACCGAGGAAGAAGAAAGCCACGACAACCACCTCAATGGGCACTACCACCACCGAGGCACGCTTAGTGATCTTCAGCCCCAAATCAAGAGGTACAGAGGTACAACCCGGGTTAGGGTTTAGGATTGCTGTTAAGAAACTATAATAAGGAAACCATATTCTTCACTATAACGCATATTATGGTAACTTAATTTAAGTTCCTTAAAAGCTACCCTGGTTTCTAAGATGTTACCAGCAGGAGGAGGTGTGACTGGGGGTAGCTCGTGACGGCAGCTACGCCTGCGCAGAAGCTTTAGTTCCATCATCCTCCCCGGTGGAAATCCTGCATGCTAATGGTTAGAAGAGATTGTGAAGGTCTGTGTATATACATATACATATATACATATGTATGTATGTACGTATGTATGTGCATACTTATACATTTGTATATATGAGGTACAGTCTGAGCTCCTAGCATCCCCCTAAGTACCCCCTATTATCGTGCCCCATATAATCCCCCTTTAAGGAGTTAAGACCCTAAACCCCAAACCAACCCTGAATAGTAGTTTTCTATTTTCTTTTCCATTATCCCTATATAACCCCTAGAGTAGTCCCATGTAGTCCCCTATGTAATTAGAGACTGCTGCGTGAGATCGTTCCTCGCTTCCCTGGAAAACTACCATTCAGGTTTTCGGGCTTCAGGCCTCCAAAGTTTAGGAGCCTTTTTTGGGGTTTAGGGTTTAGGGTTTTTTGGGGGGGGGGGTCTCAAGGAGGATTATTGTGCCTTGGGATCTAGATTGGGGTCGAAGAATTTCTGAAAACTGCCACAGATTCTGATGGTAGATCACGACAAAGGTAGGACATCCAGGGTCAAGGGATGGGCGCTCATAAGCCAAAAGAAAAAACAGACCTGAAGCCCTGATCCCTAAACCTGCTGTAAGGTCTTTGACCTTACTTCTAGTATTCCAGTTACCTTTGTGCAGCTAGAAAAAGGTCCGCTAAAAAAGAGACCTGCTATAAAGCATTTCTATGGACATGAGCCTTGGAGAAAAGGTCGCATACAAATCAACCGCAAACCCACTACACCAAACCACGAAACCTAAACCCTAAACCGCCTAAACCCGATAATCCCCAAAACCCTAAACTCTCTATACCCTAAACCCTAAACCGTGCCCAAGCATTCACACAGACCCAGAAAGCCGCTATCCTTTAAGTAGGGAATATGCTCTGAATGATACTAGGATGCATCATATGATTCAGGGTATATATTCCCGAATGAAGGGCTTTCTGGAGACCCCTAAACCTAAAATTCTAAACCCGAAGTCCTAAACCAGGAGGAATGAAGAGCCGGGAGACAACAGTCGGAAGAGTGCTGGAAGCTTTCAAACCTGCTCTGAGACAGCCAAGGCCGGTAGCATTCAGGTTCAGGAGGTGTTGGGGGTTTTGAGGGTAGGGTTTAGGCTTGTTTTGGGGGGGGGTGGGTCCCAAGATTAAGGTTACCTTTAAGGGGGGATCTAGTGGTTATATAGGGGATACATAGGGCCATATAGGGTTCAGGGTCTAGGATTTCCCAGAATCAGGGGTATCATTTTGGGAGTCCCAATCATAGGGGTCATAGTATAATGCGGTCACGAACTTTGGGAAACTGCTGCTCAGGCTTTTTTGGGAGGCGGGCTAGGGCTTTCGGAGTTAGCATTTGGGGATTGAGGGGTTTGGGATGTAACGTAGGGTTTTTCAAGCTTGTCACCAGTAATTCGGGAACCTAGGAATATATTGCTTTAGGGTTTAGGGTTTAGGCATCATTGCGGGTTCCTACGCGTTGAATCACCAAGGATTCTTTGGCCATACTGTTGAGAAACTCCCATATCCCAGCTTGTTGCAAGCGTGTAGTCGGTGGTTCTGAGCTCCCAGTAGTAGCCTCTCCCACTGACCCTGAACTACCCTAAACCCTAAACCCTGAGCTCCCAGTAGTAGCCTCTCCCCATGTCAGAGCTCCCTGCTCTGCACAGAATGACTTTTCTTCTTCTGTAAAAACTCTGAATCCTAAACCGTAAGCCCACAAACAATGACGCCCGAAAGCCTAAACCACTTGGGGGTTTTCTTCGAAGGAGGGTTTAGGGTTGAAGGTTTAGGGCTTAGGGCTTAGGGTTCAGGGCTTAGGGCTTAGGGTTTAGGATTTAGGGTTTAAAGTCCCCCTTCAGTAGATAGAATATGGTTTTAGTAGTGTTTATATAGGGATAGTGGAAAAGAACTTCGGAACTAATATGACGGGCTGTATAGGGTGTATGTTGGGGTTATATTGGTGTTATATAGGAAAAATGGCTCTCGGCGACTTCGCAATGCTGGAAAAGATGATGGAGATGACGATATTTGGAGGGTGGGTTAAGGTGTAGGGTTTAGGGGTTTATAGGGTCAGGGGGACTTGGTAAGCATTCGCGTAAGCCCTACAACTATAAGCTAATCCAGTTATCCCTACGACTAACCTACATACTACATCCCCCATTAGGATGCTTGAGTAAAATAATACCGCTGGGTTTACGGGGGACTTTGGAGCCAGAAGTGGGGCTCAATAGGGTACGTTGTTGGGGGAATCCCTAGATATTGCAGACCCTCGAAGAAGGACGCGTACTGTTGATACTGAACTTCTGCATGAACTTGATGTACTACAATACCATACCTCTCCAAGTATAAGGTGCCTAGCTTCATTGCAGAATTTTTGGTATCCACCGGAGTAGGCACTGAGAGAAGATCCTAGAGGTTACTTAAAGCTATCTGGGGATCCCTTGGGAACCCTAAACCCGAAACTAGTCACCTGACTTAGGGCGACTTCGAGGTCTCAAAGGGGTTAGGATTTCGGGTTTCGGCTCAAGGGGAGTGGGGCTTGTGGTTTAGTGTCTGGCGTTCAGGTTTACGGTTTAGGGGTTGAAGGTCCATCGAAATACGGGAAGAAAGTCCCCTTCTCGCCGTTGAATGGGGTTTTGAAAGAAACCATTGGGACAAACAGGCGTTGAAAGGAGACCATACAAGGAGGATTTTGACCGACTTCCCGTAAGATAACGGGTTTTCTTGGCCCTACACTCTAAACCCTAAACCATAAACCCCAAACCCTGAACCCCAAACCCTAAATCCTAAACCCTGAACCCTGAACCCTAAATCCTGAGCCCAGAACCCTAAACCGCATGGCCGAAACTTCCATGTCTTGGACTTGACACCCCACAAATGGAGATACATAGGGATAATGGAAAAGAAAATGGAATTACTACAGTATAATTGGGTATATGAGCTATAGTCTAAACTCCTAGTATCCCCCTTCATAACCCCCGATATAATCCCTATATACCCCCTTTTAAGGAGTTTGGATTATAGCTCATATAGGGAGTATAGGGGTTATATAATATAGTAGCTATAACCCCATTATACTATTCCTATATAACCCCATCATACTACAGTAGTTTCCATTTTCCTTTTCCATTCTCCCATATTATAGCCCATAAATATTCTCCGTATAGGGTGCCTTGGCCTTTCCTGTTGTCGTTGCTTCCTCATCTTCGTCTTCATCCTCCTCGGATGCCTTGCGGCTTCGTTTAGGGTTTAGGGTTTTAGGGTTTGGGATTTAGGATTTAGGGTTTAGGGCTTGGGGTTTAGCCTTAAGAAAGCATGGAAAATTAGACGGAAAAGAAACTGGGAAATGAAATAGACGCTAGGATTATATCCGGGCTCCCAGGGATTAGCATCATTTCCCATAGAATTAGGGACATGGGTTCCTCATTAGGGGGCTAATTTAGGGACTATACTGAACTACAAGACGGATCCCTATGTCCACCATTAGTGGTCCTTGGTAAGCCTGATGTTGACAGTAGCTCGCGTGCAAACTTCAATAGTCACACTACCTGCATGAACATGTCCTGGCTCATGGTACATCTAGTCACTCTTCGGGCAATATGTATTATGACCTTCAGAATCTCTTTTGGACTTCACAACTTTTGTGGTAGCAGCGATATGGCAAGACTAGCGAAGTGCCATGATAACATCCCTCAGCTGCGGTCAGCCAGAGTGGCATGGCCCCGGAGAAAAGAGGGCCTAACCAACGGTAAGATCGACATCGCAGGATGATCATGTTCAGGTATGATCTGAAGAATACGTTCCCCCCAATTATTATTACTCCCAAGATAATGCCATTCTATGTTGGAGGGAAAATTCATATACTATGAGGGGCGGTGAAGGTCAGAAATAGCAGGCTTAAGCGAGCTCGTTGGAAATTCTGAACATGCTGGGCCCCTTGAGACTTGAGACCCTACTTGTGAAAGGCTTCTAAAAAGGGCGCTCACAAGAAATCTTTAATGAATACTACAGAGGCCCAAATAATTACGAATATCATGTTGAGGTCCATTTGAGGTACCATATACTATAATTATACAAGAAATTGGGAACCATAATATTGGTAATTATTTAGGTCCCTACATTACGTTGGGAAACTCCATGTGGTCAAACCCTTGAGATCCTTGTTGATGTTGGAGTCACAACATGTCCCTAAGGGTCTAAAGACCCAACTAATAGGGTTTTAGGGCCCTATTACTATAATATTAGTGGTATTTGGGCCCTAAAACCCCCATTATTTGGGTCCTTGGCCCCTTTGGGTGTGCATTCTTCATTTCGTTCCACGTTTAAGGATTGAGTGGTTAGAGTATAGGGCTTTGGGAGACTTAGGCCCTGCTGGACGGCATAAGATCATCACAAGAAAGCTTTGGATATCTTACTTGAGGGTATCGGGAGACTTAGTTCTATAAGTAGGTTATCAATATAGGGATAACTGGGCTTATTCTATGCATTCTAGGGTTAGAAATTGGGTACTGCCTCCACTCATTAACAGTTGAATACTATTTATACTATAATTATATGAAGACCGATAATATAGACTGTTAATGGGTGGGGGCAGGACCCAAGTTAGAAATATACATATGAAGTCTCGCTGACACTCCAGGTGATGCGAAATCTCTTCCGGCAACTGTAGGGTTTAGGGTTTAGTATGTAATCCCAGTTGTCATGCCATGTTCGGGTTCCATGTGATTTTCTACTGTTTAGCCCTTCCTCTGATACTAGAAGGCCCCCCCTATGTAGCATAAGACATTCTTTCAAACTTATGGTATACCGCAAAGGAATAGCCAATGCTAGGCGGGTAGGGACTAAATTATTGTGATCCGTAAGCCCTAACCTAAATAATGTAGCAGTGCACTTGTTCTTCTCCATTCCCCTCTACAACCCCAATCTTCACCCTGATATGGGAGTTGTTCAAGAAGGGTGCTCCAGGAACCCCCAAAGATATTTAGGGATTATATAAGGAGTTGAAAAGAAGTATAGCGGTCTTGATTCGGACTATGTAGCGAGAATACATTAGAAATACCACCCCATCGATACATGTTCAAACTTCTGTCTGCATCACTCTCATGCTTTTGCCCTACTTAAACCCTTTATACTCCCTACAAGGTCCTTTAAAAGGCTCCTAATTCAACTATTAGTCTGAGTCATTCAAGGGCCACAAGCCCTAATGAAAAACCGCTAACCCCTATAGGATTTAGTCGTTCAGGGTTTAGGTGTTGTTTGGGACCAGAATCCTAGGGTCCTCCAATATATCCCCCCCAAGTCTTGGCCGCCAACTTCTACGGGTCCATGTTAGAAGCAACGACAGGGGGGGAGTTTCCAATGTAGGGAGTTTATATAATGGGTATCTAAGGGGTTTATAGGGATCATGGGGAGTTCTATGAGGGGTATATGAGGCTTATGTAAGGTCCCTACATGGTAACTCCCCTCCTGTAATTGCCCTAAACCCTAAACCCTAAAGCCTATCCCCTAGGCGCCTCTAAACCCTGAGGGTTTGGTGCGGAACAACTCTAGCCAATAATCCCTAAACCCTCCAAACCATGCATCCTGAAAACCCCGAGAACCCTGTGTGTCCCTGTAAGATTTAGCGTTTAGGGTTTACCCAACTTTCCACTTCAGTTTCCATGTTTGTGTTCAATTTGATTCTCCGTTCTTGGTGGTAAGATCTGTGTATATCCTATAAACCCGCAGGTCTTGCTCCTAAAGCTCTATACCCCACTAAACATCCCTATAAATCCCTATAGCGTATATTCCCGTATATCCCTACACACCCCAAACCCTGGACCCTAAACCCTAATCCTTACAAACCTATCAGGGGGACCTTGGTCGTGGTGTTCGCTTTAGGCGCTGCCGTGGTAGTGGCGTTCTTGCTGGGTTTGGCCTCGGCGCAATCAAGGCCCTAAACCCTAAACCCTTAATCCTAAACCCTATTTAGAGCGTTGAGAGGCTTAGGGGGCTTAAGGTTTAGGAGTCCGTTCAAGTTGGGTTTGCGCTCCAAGCCCGGCCCGCGCCTCGCTCTTTGCAAGGTCTACTTACATAGCGGTTTAGGGTTTAGGGTTTAGGTGTTAGGGTTTTAGGGTTTAGGGTCTTAGGGTTTAGGGCTTAAGTGTTAGGGTTTAGGGTTTAGGGGTTTAGGGTTTAGGCATAAGGTGATGTTCCCTGGTTCGTACTGTATCGACGTTCTCGACATGGCTTTAACCAACAATGTCTGTAGGCCATAGCTACTCAAGATCTGCAGGAAGTCCATATGCTGAGCAAACCCTGAAATCCCAAGATCAGAAATCAGGGTTTAGGCTCAACCCTTAAACGCTAAACCCTAGAGCCTAAATCGCGTCTCGGCCCGCCGCAGTCGCGTTGCTCTTCTTCTTCGCCATAGATGCCAGCTTCAAGCGCTCCTCTGAGGGATGCGCTCCGGGGTTTAGGGAGTTAAAGGTTGGCATTTTAGTGCTGAGCCACCCTAACTTGCTGGTGCAGGTGGGGGGGGGTTCTGAATGCAGTGTATAGGAGGTTTACATCTAACAGGATTTTCAACTATGATCCCACAAAAAAATTGGACACAAAGTGTATACAGTTTCGGTTTTAGGGTACTAGTATTCAGTATACCTATTCAATTATCTACCCTACAACATCACGACAAACCCACTTAAATCTAAACCCTAAACCTTCAGTACTGCTCCCCCTCAGTAACAGTTGGATAATACTTATAATATGGTTATATATACGTAGCCCTTAATAGGACCCTGTTACTGGGTGGGGGCAGTACCCAACCGAAACCCTAAACCCCTAAACCCTAAAGCCCTAAACCCTAAACCGTAAACCCTAAACTCTAAACCCTAAACCCCTAAACCCCTAAACCCTTAAAGGGCCCATGGCCTTTGACCTGAGATCCTTTTCGGCTCAACTGCCCAGTCCAGGGCTCAAGTTGTGCCAAGCAAGCCCAAAACCCCCGCACCCCAAACCCTGAACCCAAAATCCTAAACTCCAAAGGCTAAATCCATAAACCCTCAACCCTAGACCCCCAAACCCAAAATCCCTACTAAACCCCTAAACCCTCAACCCCTACACTCTAAACCCCTGAACCCTAAACCCCTAAACCCTCAACCCTAAATCCCTCAACCCTAAACCCCACCCTCTCTCCCGCACCTTGGCGTCTTTCACCGCAGCCTCCCGGGCGTCTTTGACATCCAACACAGAACCGCCGGCTGACTTGCAGCCCGCCACTGCGGCGTCCTGCAAGGGTGTTTGTGGATAGGGTTCAGGGTTTAGGGTTTAGGGGTTAGGGTTTAAGGTTTAGGGTATAGGGTTTAGGGTTTAGGGGTTTAGGTTTTAGAGTTCAGGTTTTGGGCTTTTTGTTTTAGGGCTCAGGGTTCAGATTTTAGGGCTCTTTGGCTGTTAACTAAGGAACCTCCAGTTGAAAGGGAGGTTCTTGGGTCTATATATAGGCCCCTTAAAGGGGGATATGGGGGATACATGTCTGGGGATCCCAAGAATATGTGGAGAGTATATGGGGATTACAGGAGTCCTCTTGAAGCACTATTGTGATGGGCTCCCAGTTGGGATTTCCAAACATTGCGCGTTTCAGGGGAGGTCCCTATCATCATGTAGTACATGCTGGTTTTAGCAGGACGCTTCGAAATACCCATTCAGGAGTTCAAGGTCGAGAAATGACCAACCAAGGGTTCTCTCTCTCCCAGGCCCGTGTACAAGAACCAGTGACCCGGGAATGGACATCTCAAAGTAGGGACCCCTGTAGAAGCTCGCCCTATCATCTCTGTTACAAGGATCTCCCCAAAAAGGACACTGAATTTGTCGGAAGCACTTCAGCCTGATCCTGGAACCCCCTATATCCCTACATGCATACATACATACATACAAACAGAGTTATCTTGGGTACAGCCCCCCCTCAGTAACAGTTGGATAATAATTATCATATGGTTATATATAGCTCTTAATAGGACCCCCTAATATAGACTGTTACTGGGAGGGGGCAGTACCCAAGATTTATCCCCTGTGCACCTCTATGCCCATGAAGGGGACCCCTAACCTTTGGAAACTCGAAGCCGCAGATAGGGACCGATGTCTCCTTCCCCCCCAAAATGTCTAGGGTGTTTAGGGTTTAGGGAGGGTTTGGGGTTTACGCCGATTTAAGACTACAACTATCCATGCAACGTTAGAATGCCCTTAGCCAAGGCCTTAACCGTAAATTACAGCCCCAGGCGCTAAGCCCTGAACCCTACGTGGCAATCCCCAAGTCCTAGATCTATATATTCTTATATTACCATATACAGCCCCCACGTATCCTATCATGTGATCCCAATTCCTAAACCTTAGTCCCGAACTCCAACCCCTAAACCAAAAGTCCTAAACCCTAAAATAAACAAAAAGACCGAAACATGACACCTTTAAACCCCACACCCTGATAACCCTACACCATCATAACCCTAAAAACCAACTCTACCAGCCCTAATATTCTGAATAACTCCAATAACTCTAACAACCGGAATCACCCTAGTATTCTTAAGAACCCTAACAACCCTAAGAACCCCGATAACTCCACAACCCCAAAACCCTAAACCCCGAAAATCTTAAACTCTAGACCCAAAACTCCAAAAAAACACACCCTGAACCCTAAAACCCAAAACCCTGAACCCTTAATAACCCGATAGCCCCAAAACCCCAAACCCTAAACCCCAACCCCTAAGCCCTAAACCCTAGACCCCAAACCCCTGACAAGCCCAATAACCCCAAAAAGATCGGTCCTCAGCCCTCAATAATACCTTCCATTTTATTTTCCACAATCCCAATATAACCCCTAAAACCCTAAAACCCTGAACCCTAAACCCTAAACCCCAAACCCTAACCCCAAAAAAGATCGGTCCTGGGCTGCCTTAATCTGCTGCTCCTGCCCTTCGCCGGCTTCCGCCGCAGCTTTCTGCGCGGCCCGGCCCGCAAAGGAGGCCACCTATAAGGCGGAAATGGCTGAGGGTTTAGAATTTACATAAGGTTTCGGGGTTGGGGGTTTGGGGTTTAGGGTTTAGGGTTTAAGGTTTAGGGTTTAGGGGTTGGGGGTTTGGGGTTTAGGGATTAGAGTTTAGGGCTTAGAGCTTAGGGATTAGTGTTTAGGGCGTTTCTGCTTCAGGGGCTTCAGGTTGTAGAGCCTGGGGCTATATAGAAACATATAGGGATCGAAATAACAGGGATTTACACGGTTCAGTGTTCAGGCTTAGGGGCGTCTATGGTTGGTAGCAAGAAATTATATAACCCTAATATAACCCGAATATATCCCTGATATTACCCTAACATAACTTCAATGTAACCCTAATATAGCCCTAAACTCTAAACCCTAAACCTTAAGAATATTCTGACCCTAAGTTCCTCCTACCCTGGGAATCATGCTATTAAGTACATGAGGGATCCTGAAGGTCATGCAGTAGAAAAAGTATCAGCAGCAGCAGCAAGAAAAAACAACAAGCAAAGCTGGTTCCACATTGGGGTCCCATGATTCCTTCTTGGGCTTTCGTAAGTACACAAATCCATGTTTGTAGTTCTGATTCCTTATTGGGCTTTGGTAAATACAGAAATTCATGTTTGTAGCTCGTCATTCAACGCGGGCCCCTACACTCTAAACCCCAAACCTCCTAAAAACCGAAAAATTCTCCTCACAGCGGCACCGGGGGAGGGGGTGATCTGGTGATAAGTCGTTGCACCAGGTTTAGGGTTTTAGGGGTTTAGAATTTAGGGGTTTAGGGATGAGGGTTTAGGGTCTAGGGTTTTAGGGGTTTAGGGTTTAGCGGGGGCTTGGGTTATTTGGATTTAGAGGTTAGGGTTTAGAGGTTTGCGACACAGGCAAAGTTCTGAAGAGGCTTGCAGCACAACGGCGTAAGGTTCAGGCCTACATGACCTGCAGAGTCTGTACTGTTCTGTAGCTGTACCCTGGTCGCTGTGAATCGCGCCCATAGGAATGTTAAGAACATGCATCTGCAAATTATGAAAGGAGGGGTTTTGGGCTTAGAGTTCAATTGATTAGAATTTCGGTGCTCAAAATGATGCAGTGAGCGCATGTACTCAGGATACTGGTCCTACAGGGATAGGACGTACAGTGTCATTAGACTCTCCCAATGGATGCGAAGCTCAGCTCATCAACTCTTGAGCCCCAACCAGTAGGAAGCCCCCTCAGCCTCTCCTTGATGGACTGTAATTAGCCTTCAAGAAGCATACTTGAGTGAACCTAAAGAGGGCTAGGTGACCCATATTTGTATGTAGCTCCCCCCCAAAACCTTAGTCCCCCCAACTTGACTAATATGGAACCTAGGTAGAGTACTTTAAAGGAAGACTGGCTAGCGCTTGATCAAGACATGTTCAGCACCACGCCCCCCGCCTCCGATACTAAATATGGCCCACAATATACAGTGCATCGTATGCCAAACCTTTATTATCACCCTAAACCCTAAACCCCTAAACCCTAAACCCTATACCCTAAGGCTCCAGGGTGATACGTATTTGGGAGAGGACCCCTTATCCATCCCTATGTATAGGGTTGAGGGTTTAAGGCTTTAAGGTTCAAGGTATACTCCTGGCAGGCCGACTCAGAAATACTTGCCGGGCCGCTTTTACCCAAAATCGTGGTAAACCCTAAGCCCTAAACCCTAAGCCCTAAACCCTAAATCCCCTTTAGTACTTTAGTTTTCCAAGAAACAAAGTTCTGGTAAACACTAAACCCTAAACCCTAAATCCCGTTTAGTTTTCCAAGAAATCATCAAATAGGAGTACAGGCTAACATATTGGGCTCGGCTTTCTAGATTTTCCGAGGGGTCTGGGCCTAAAAGCCCCAAACCCTAAAAGCTCTAAACCTTAAAAGCCCTAAACCCTAAAAGCCCTGAACCCTAAAAACCCTAAACCATGAACTCAAAAGCCCCAAGCCCTAAACCCGAAAGCCCTTAGCCCTAAACCCCAAAAGCCCTTAAGCCATAGCGGGCCCCCCGGAAACCTACAGCTGACTGAATGCAGCAGATTACCTCAAAGGGCCAAAGCGTTTGAGGGGTTTGGGTTTAGGGAGCTACGTATAGGGTATTGGCAAGAGTCTTTGCCCCTTTTGGGGGTACCCTGTTCTCGGCAGCTTTACACAATTTTCTGCATCTGTTTCTCCTTCAGATGCCAAAGCTGCCTAAACCCTAAACTATCCTAAACCCTAAACCTTAAACCATCCTAAACCCTAAACCCTAAACCATCCTAAACCCCAAGCCCTAAACTCTAAACCATCCTAAGCCCTAAACCCTAAACCTTAAACCATCCTAAACCCTAAACCCTAAAACTTAAACCATCCTAAACCCTAAACCTTAAACCATGCTAAACCCTAAACCCTAAACCTTAAACCATCCTAAACCCTAAACCCTAAACCATCCTAAACCCCGAACCCTAAACTCTAAACCATTCTAAACCCGAAACCCTAAACCTTAAACCATCCTAAACCCTAAACCCTAAACCATCCTAAACCCTAAACCTTAAACCATCCTATACCCTAAACCCTAAACCATCCTAAACCCCAAACCCTACACTCTAGACCATCCTAAACCCTAAACCC